CCCCCCCGTTTACTTTTGTGCCTTCAGACTTTCCCTGTTTGCAAGCTTTTTTTAAAAAAAGTGTCTTGCTGCTTCTGGAGACCTTCTAATTAGGTCTTCAACTCTCCATCCCTGTGTCGTTCAAAAATAGAAGTAGGCCATTTCTGCTTTCATTTTCTGTTGCAGTTTGACATTTTTTGGTGGTCAGTGTAGCCCTAGCATATTCTTTGGGTCAGAAAATTGGCTTTAAGGTCCATCAGAGAGGTTCCCCAGTGGCCTTTACAGAAGTAAATTGGGAAGTGAATCTTTCTTCAATACTGGTGAAAGGACTCCCATTTCAGTAGCACTTGAGGACACTTGGCTAGATTATAGGGCTCAGGACAGGCTGCATAGCTCATCCAGTCCCCAGTATAGTCTTTCAGTACCTTGCTAGTAAATGCACCTAAGATGATTGCCTATTTACACTATAGTGCTGGCCAGGCTACAATTTTCTTCATCAGGAGTGTTTGATCTTTTCTGTTCCTCTTCTAAATAATCCACAGTGGTCATGGTCCTCTGGCAGCTAACCTGCAGCAGTCATGTATTGGGTGATAGAAAAGATTCCCCCTCCACTTGAGACCTGTCCATGAGAGTAGATTCCTGGGTTTCCATCTAAGTGAGAGAAGTGTCCTTTTCTGCCCTGACGTTTGAATCAGGGAAGGTTTCCAAATGTGTGGCTGACAAACCCATGAGTGAGTGACACTCATGAGATGAATAGAATGTTGACTTTATTTTTCTTGTGTACCAGTAAGTACAAATTAAAAAATCTAAATGATAAACAACATCATCAGTTTGAGGTTAAAATTCTTCTGGTAGAACTGCTGAATTGTTGAATAAATCAGCTTCTCTATGTACATCCATCTCTTAATGCTCTGCTCTCCCTGCTTTGTTTCCAGGAACTAAATGAAAACGGTGAATTGTTGTCTATACTGAAAGGAGAAAACTAATGCAAATGAACACATTGACGAAGACAAATTTGAAATGCAAAACGTATGATTATTAATTGCACTGGAACAATTCATCACCTAGCTTTGGCAGAAGAAGTGGGATGCTGGTTTCTGACTTCATACTTCACCTGGTCATGCTAGAGATGTATGTAAATGTAGGTTTTCGCCCCACATAGAAGGTGATGAGCATCTTAAAACTGAATTAAAGCTGGAGTTCAAAAATGTATGTGGTGTTCTGTCCTTTCTTTTCCCCCTTCTGTGCACAAATATGTTCTGTCTTTTTATGGTGCAAGTAGTCTTGGTCAAAAGAAAAACCAAAAGCCGATCCTGTAGCTTCTGATTTTTTTCATCATGTGCCCTGGTCATACAAGGGTGAACTTGTACAAACCTTAGAAAGAGATGCTGAAGTTCCTACAAAGGAGGTCTAATTCAGGAATACATGTGGCATCTGACCAGAAGTAATGCAAATTTCAGGGGTGCACATGGTGAGACTTCAGTCAAGTCAGAAGAAACTAGTATTGTTCATAACTATCACTGATCATGGCCATTCACCAAATTTGCTGATGGCACAAACATCTTGGCATTCGATAAGATGCCATAGAATTTTTGTTGTTGTTGAAGTTAGCTAGCACAGCTGCTCCTTTGGAAACTTAGTATTATTCCATCCCTTCTGGTAGTAATCCCTGTATGCATTTTTATAACAGTGCATGTAAAGAGTTCCCAAATGGATAGCTAAAACACCTTCATTTTTAAAGAAGATCGGGAATTTCAGTCCCTTTAAGAATAAAGCTAAGCAACAAATGCTGACAGTAACTCAACTAACACAGGGTCACTGAAAAATGCGAGGTGATTATTGGCTTATGGGGTTTAAGAGGACAGCATAGTGTTTGGCAGTATTTCTGTTGGAAGATGCAGACGCTATAACATTTTGTTGTACATCCACTTGTGTTAGATATGGGTGTTATCTTTTAAAACACATTGGGTAATCAATTGAAGTTAAAATCAATGGTACTCCATGCTGGGTGAACTTGAGATAAAATCTTGTGCTTGTTGATGTGACACATCCAATCTCCTTCAGTTATTTCTTCTCTGCAGGATTGCATGTTTCAGCCAGAATTCTTAATAGAAATGGATGAGAGCGAGGAACGTAACCAACTGAGTTGCTAGACTAGTGGCTCATGAGGCTGTTCACCATCTGGGCATGTCTTCTAATGCTCACTTCCTGCCTTTCTTAGCTGATGTTACGATAGGAAGAATTGTGAAGGAAGTAGGTTTAAATCTGTACTTAAACTGTATTCAGCTGTGCTTCTGAACCTCAGAGATGGGAGATTATCATGCAAATGGCATGGCCCTTGCCCCTGGATTCTCTGCAGTGGAAACCATCCTTTTGTGCTGGCCTAATAGGCTTTTAAAATAACTTACCGTATTTTTCTGTTTATAAGACACCCCCATTTATAAGATGCCTCCCCTTTCTAACCCCAAACGTAAGAAAACGTAGCTTTGAGGATTCTAGACTCATAATGCTAGAAAACGTAGCTTTGAGGATTCAGCCTCTAGACTCAGAATGCACGGACATTAAGAGTCCCTGTTGAATCTGAGCCTACAAGCTCCACCTCCGAGGTGTGTAGTAAATCTGAGCCTACAAGCTCCACCTCCAACTGAGGTGTGTTCTGGTTGGTATGTTCAGCATCAGCTAATGACAGTTCCATAAGGCTCGTGATTGGGAGAAGCTAAGCCTCATGATTGAAAGAAGCCTTTTTACAGAGGCACGGTACAGGCCGTTTTGTTCCGTGTAAAAGATGCCTCTCAATTTTTAGTGTAATGATTTTAGGAAAATAGCATCTTATACATGGAAAAATAAGGTACCTGACAAGTGCCACCCAGATCTTTGTATAGGTGTTTCCTGCCATGTTGAGTACATTTAGCTAAACGTCCTTGGCAAAGCTCTTGTGTTTCCTTTTATCTGAAATCCAATGGCTATTGAGATTCTGGGGAATAAATGTATTTATTTATCACCTACATATTTCTCTGGCTGCAAGAATAATAAAGCACACAATATAAAATAATGCAATCAAGATAAAATATGTTGTCCATAAAATAGGTGATTGGCTGAACTACTACTTACCGGAAGACTTGCAAAAGTACGTACATTTTCAACACCCATTTCAAACTGATTGGCACCTATGATGCAGAATACGCTTTATTCTGATATTAGAAGGAAGGGTGTTATCTACAATGGGTGCTGTCCTTGCTAAACACCCTACTTTGAGTGGCTGTATAGTGAACCTCGGAAGCATGTGGCACTGCCAGGTGGACCAGAGGAAAAAACTAGGTATAATGACAATTTTGCATGCAATAACGGTGTCAGTGGGAGGATTTACAGTTCAATGTGATTGTCCTTTGCCACTAGGTTCTTTTCCTGCCTCTGGCTTTTGAGGCAAGGCTGTGCCCACTCTTTGTATTTGTTTCCATTGTTTTAGTTGATAGCCCTTCTCTCTCAGACCTGACCAAGCAACAAGCATTGAGGGTCTTTTCTGCGAGGTGGAGGCTCCCCTTCTCCTCCTGACTGTGACAACAAGTGGTAACGGTAAATAAAGATGTCCGTCTTTTCTGCGAGGTGGAGGCTCCCCTTCCCCTCCTCCTGACTGTGACAACAATTGGTAACTGTAAATAAAGTTGTGATTTTCTACTTCAAATGTTCAGAGTGATTTTATACAGAGTGCTAGTTTGCATGTAGAAGAATCCCAAGGGGTGGCGGAGGTTTGTTTCTGCATAATGAGACTGAGCTGATCTCCACATTTATGTGTTGTTTTTTCTGCCTGACATTCTGCCAAGGGGTGGCGGAGGTTTGTTTCTGCATGATGAGAGTGAGCTGATCTCCACATTTATGTGTTTTTTCTGCCTGATATTCTACTAACTAAAAGGAATAATTAGAATTCCGCAATAAAACCAAAGCAAAAAACTCATGTTCTTAAGGGCAATGGACATGAATCTCGTTTATCGGACTTTCCTTCTCATCCCAGCCTCCAGTTAGCTGACTAGGAATTGCTCAGTGTGACTGTTCTATGTGATACATTTGTATACCATTATGCCTTTCTGTCATGGCACACTAAGGCAGTTTACAGTTTTAAAATACTGGAGTGGTTGAATATATATCATACAGTTCCTTGGATTGAAGGTCTTTTCCCTGGTGGCTGAAACTCCTAGGCCAGGTTTTCCTCACTTTGACTTTGGCTTTCCCTTGAGGCCAACCATTGGGGATATTGTTTCAAAGGATAGGAACAACAGGAGTGTCCCCCTCTTTTTTTTGCTTCAGGAAGCAACCATTTGAATTGAGTAGGAATTAGTTTGGTTGCTATAAGCCACCTGCAGTTTTTTGTTTTTGTTTTTTTGCGTGGCAGAGGAGATATTTTAACTTGTGTTCATAGTGTTCTAGTTCTCCCATGTTTTGGTGTTTGGCATATGGTCAAACGTCCCCATGTCCCACTTGAAAAATACATTTTAATATGTATACCTCATATTGATGAAATTAAACCTCTAACATAGTCAATTTCTATAAAATACAGTGTGAGTTTTATATCATTGCACCTAACTTACATTCAGCTGGAGAGTGGCCAGGCTGAGCTTTCCTTTGCCATGGATAACATTGATGGTGCTGCGAATCCGATTTCTGAGATCTGAAACATGTGGCATGGAGGATTAAAAAATGTGTAGAGCAGGGTATGAAACCCTTTGCCTTCAGACGTTTTGGACTTCAATTTTCAGAAGCCCGAGCAAACACTAATAAGGGATTGTAAAATTGTAGCCCGAAGTATCCAGAGGACCAAAGATTTCCAACTTCTGTCATGGCTTGTACAGGCTGGGCTTATTTCAGTAGAGAATCTAGTGTTTAGTGATCTTCCAGGATCCTGACTCAGATGGAAAGAATGCAAAGCCTCTCCCTGTTCAGATAGGACGGCCTCCCCATATAGGGGGGTGACAAAACTGGAAAAGAGGCGGGAATACCCTTCTTTACATCTGGAAGTAAATGCACCTAGAAAATAACTGGACAAAGCTTAAGTTAAATGTTTCAGAAATCAGATCTCCCATTCCTGGTGCAGAAGGAATTGATCCTTCCAGAACTAGATTTAGAGGATTTTTGTTGTTGTTTAGTCGTTAAGTCGTGTCCGACTATTCGTGACCACATGGACCAGACCCTGCCTCCACAATTTGAGCTAGAGATTTGAATGTTGTTGTTGTTTAGCCGTTTAGTCATGTCCAACTCTTCATGACCCCATGGACCAGAGCACGCCAGGCCCGCCTGTCTTCCACTGCCTCCCGGAGTTGGGTTAAATTCATGTTGGTCGCTTCGATGACACTGTCCAACCATCTCATCCTCTGTCATCCCCTTCTCCTCCTGCCTTCACACTTTCCCAACATCGGGGTCTTTTCCAGGGAATCTTCTCATGAGATGGCCAAAGTATTGGAGCCTCCGCTTCAGGATTTGTCCTTCCAGTGAGCACTCAGGGTTGATTTCCTTCAGAAGTGAAAGGTTTGTTCTCCTTGCAGTCCAGGGGACTCTCAAGAGCCTCCTCTAACACCACAATTCAAAAGCATCAATTCTTCGGTGGTCATGTTGAAGACTTAAGCAGCCATTTGGCTTCTTTGAATTTTGCTGAATTGCAACTCCAGATGCTTTTGCTTGAGCTCTTCTCTCCTAACTTGGTCAGAGAAGTAGAGGAGGTATGCAGACCCACTGGCCCTAGTTCAGTGAGGTTTACGTGGACAGAACATTGTGGTATAAAGTTGATGGTACAGCCCACTGGTGCACCTGGTAGATGCTTCACAAATTAAAGCAACTCATTAAAGGACATCTTTTCACACCAACAACATAGGAAGCTGCCTTATACTAAATCAAGTCATCCAGCCCTGTGTTGTGAACTTATAGTCATGTTCCAAGGTTTCAAGTAGGATTCCTTCCTAAGAATATCCAAAAAACTTTCATATTCTCTGGTGATACCTCATCGAAGCACTAACCAGATCTGACCCCGTTTAGTCTCCAAAACTAGATTGGGTAGGCTGTGTTCAGGGTGGTATGACAACATTATCTGCCAATGCCAGTTTAGGTAGCATGTTGTGGGCTGTTACTTGCCCAAGGTTGCAAAATGGTTCCGATCAGTTGTGTTTGTAGCTTGCTGGGTCAACAATGGTGAATCAAGACTACAGGTGTGAAATTCCCAGAAAT